AGAAGGGCTCACACTGCAGGGCCCCGAGAAGGGCTCACACTGCGGAGCTCCCCGATCAGGGGACCTCGGTTGGACAAATGAAAGACAGGAGAACATGGTCACCGGATACTTTTGTGTGTTTAATGATTGGAGCAGGCGGGCAGTGACATGTATGTTACACGGAGACAGAAGCCGCTGCCGGGACACGTCACACAGAATGGAATCACCGCAATGAATGTAAACAAGATTTCTATACATATATATATATGCAGATGGCGGACAGGCTCCACCCCCGGCCGGCATCTCTATATACATATAAAAAGTAGAGTACTTCCTTCTATATCAGCAGTCCTTCAGTGCAATCTGCTATCTTCATTGTAAGGCAATATTCGGAGTAGAAGAGGGGCCCCGGGGCCCCGTGGAAGAGCCAGAATCAGGTCTCTCTCTCTCTGCAGCGAAGTTTTCCAGGGTACACCACCCACTGGAGGGATCGGCGGCGCTAATGTCCCAGGAGACCCGTTCCTGCCACAACAAACCGCCATTAAACACGGAAGAGAGACACTGACGCATTACACATCACATGGCACAAACTGGGGCACGCTCATATCACATGGTACAAACTGGGGCACGCTCATATCACATGGCACAAACTGGGGCACGCTCATATCACATGGCACAAACTGGGGCACGCTCATATCACATGGCACAAACTGGGGCACGCTCATATCACATGGCACAAACTGGGGCACGCTCATATCACATGGCACAAACTGGGGCACGCTCATATCACATGGCACAAACTGGGGCACGCTCATATCACATGGCACAAACTGGGGCACGCTCATATCACATGGCACAAACTGGGGCACAGTCAGGTCACATGGCACAGTCAGGTCACATGGCACAGTCAGGTCACATGGCACAGTCAGGTCACATGGCACAGTCAGGTCACATGGCACAGTCAGGTCACATGGCACAGTCAGGTCACATGGCACAGTCAGGTCACATGGCACAGTCAGGTCACATGGCACAGTCAGGTCACATGGCACAGTCAGGTCACATGGCACAGTCAGGTCACATGGCACAGTCAGGTCACATGGCACAGTCAGGTCACATGGCACCAAAGATCAGATAAACTGGTACTGAGCAGGAAAAACTTTGTGGGGGAAATATAAACTCTCAGGCGTCTCGAGAGGAAAGCAAGGTGAGGGTCCAGCAACACAAATGGTAAACGCGCTCATCAATTGGTCGCCAGCGTTACAGCGCGGGTCACATGGAAGGGCCTCATACAGGACAACAGCAAAACGTTTTCCCGGCACACTCCTCACCGGCCGGCATGCAAAAAACCCGTCTGACCGCTAAGGATAACAACAGAGGTTTAGAGACACGTCTTCTGCAGAACATGTGACAGCCGCGCCAAGGCTCCTCCATACAGTGCGGTCCTAACTCTGACATATGAGAGCCGCCATCTTGGAGCACATGGGGGCAGAACATGTGACAGCCGCGCCAAGGCTCCTCCATACAGTGCGGTCCTAACTCTGACCTATGAGAGCCGCCATCTTGGAGCACATGGGGGCAGAACATGTGACAGCCGCGCCAAGGCTCCTCCATACAGTGCGGTCCTAACTCTGACAGCAGGGGTGCCTTGGCGTGGCTGTCACATGTTCGGCAGACGACGTGTCTCTAAACCTCGGTGTTTATCCTTAGCGGTGAGACACGCCGGCTGGTGAGGAGAGTGCTGAGGAAACTTTCTGCTGTTGGCCTAGGTGAGGGTGACGCCATCTTGATTCTGGCCAGTTCCCCGAGAATGTGGAGCAGCCCAAATCTTGGGAGATGACCCCCGTACTGTGCCGTGTCGTCTCCCGAGATATGCTCTTCTCACCAGGAATATTGCCGGCAGGAAGAGGTCACATTGCCGGCCCCCCAATTCTATGGAAGTCATGTTCCCTCACAGG